AGAGACACTTTTACACACAAACACTCATCCCTCTCTTCCTGTAGTGATTGATCTGGGATCATTTTGTACGGCGCTCCCACAGCCGGTGCTTGTCGTTGCAGGGATGGAGGGGGAGAGGAGCGGAGAGGACGTCGTGTCAGACTACCTGGGTCAGAACCCAGAGCTGGCCCAGTGGGTCGAAACCCTCAGGACTTACTGTGAGAGCAACAAGCAGTGGGTCGCTCGGAGGGAATTCATCCTGAGAAACATGGAGGCCTTCCCCACAGTGGAGCTGGGGGTCCCCAGCAGCAGTCTGGACAGGCTGCTCTCTCTGTCCATGGTCTGGGCCAATCACGTTTTCCTCGGCTGCAGGTAGGGAGCGACAGCAGGATGATCCAACTCCAGGAGGCGACGATCGAGCCCTTCAGACGAAGAGTGACTTTCCTTTGGTTCTTTTCATCCCTCAGTTATCCGCTGGCCGTGATGGACAAGATCAAGGAGATGGGTGAAGGGATTGTTGTCGAAGATCCTCCAGTTCACAGGACGACAAAAGATGAATCCATGGCCAAAGGAAAGAGAAGCACCACAAGTGGTAATACACTGTTAATCATTGTTAAAGAGATAGTTCAGGTGGAAATGAAATGTCAAACTATCAACTGTGTGTTTTATTGACAAAGTTTCCAATATTTTATAGTTTGTTGGAAATACAGAAGGGCATAGACGTTGGACCACTCAGCATGCTCCCTAAAAAACTTAATTTGAATTCACTAAATCCAGAAATCACACACACACACACACACACGCCATCAGTTCCCTAAACATGAAAATCATTTTTTAATCAATGTTTAAAATTGTTCTATAACACAATGTTAAAGAAAGTAGCCCCCTGATCCAGATCCGCACTGTCTCATACCAGGTTCATCTTGAATTTATTATTGACACACGATCAGTTTTTCAGCTCCAGGAAATGTTCTGAATTATAAGAGCTGTGACTGCTGAGGGTGGGAGGGACAAACTCTGGCTTGTTATCGAACACCGACATGTTGCCTCTTCTCCACTGCTGCATGTGTCAGTGCAATTGTGTTCTGGTTTTTCTTTTCTTTTCACACCCACTCCTGACGCTGGAGTTCCTCATTAGATGCTGTTTCTTTGTGCCACTGTCTGTTGTGACATCATTTGCAGAGAGCGACGCTGACGGCTGCGTGAAAAGAGCCAAATGTGGGACTAATGAGCTCGACAGTCGAATTGCAGGGAGGACGAGCTCAGCGTGGCCGGTGAGTCAGAAAGCAGGACCTGCTCCACATGCTCCAGCCGAGCACCAGCCCTTCTTCAACCGCCTCTACAAGGCCGTGGCATGGAAGTTGGTATCGGCGGGAGGATTCGGTCCCAACCTGGACCATTTTGAAATCCTTCGAAGCTGTGTGGAGTCATGTAAACAGACCCTGACATGCGTGTTTGTGCCATTGAAGGACATCGAAGGCCTCCCTGCAGGTCGCACACAGAAGGAAGGCCACGTGTGTGAAATTCGCTCTCAGTCTGTCTACATGGGCACAGGATATGGGCGGGATGAGGCCGCTGCCAAGGCCATGGCTTCCAAAGAAGCTCTTAAAGTCTTTCAGGGACGAAAAGTGACAGTAAAAATCTGCAGACGGAGGTACAAGGGGAAAGATGTGGAGGATTTGATGTTGTTTGACGAACAGTCTCGGAGTCAGGGCTTTCCTCCTGCTCTAAGCTACCCGTTTCAGGACGAGCCGCTGGACGACGCTTCTTCATAGAGAGAGAGAGAGAGACAGATGTCTGCTGTGATCCCAGGTGGAGAATCAACAAGTGGCATTTATTTACTGAAGCTACTGAAGGAATCCACGACTGTGTCGGGACCAGACTGTTACAGAGAGAGTCTTAAAGTAACAGAGCATTAACGATCACACTTTACTGTCGTATCAATACTCAGATTCTTTGACAAACCCCAATAAAACTTTTAAATCTGCAAAGAAAACAACAATCTTACACTGAACTAACTTCATTTCATCCTATTTCAGTTTGGTGACGTTTTCCTGACATCAAGCTGTGTAACAAAGTGTGTGCCATCATTGAATAGTCAAAGTTTCTGCTGTAGAATAAAGGCAGCTTGAAATTCCAGCTCCATACGACAGGAGAACATGTTGAATTACATTGATATGATTTCTGTTCTACTGCTTCTAGAATGACAGAAACTGTGTTGGCCAGTACCTCGAATAAGAAGTAGCACGTGTACTGTATGTATATATACATCTATATTTTCCCTTTGTTCATTGCAGTTCTTATTGGTTTTGTTCTGAGGTCTTTTTTCTTATCTCCAAACTGTTTGATAAGTTTGTTCAGATTTCCTCCGTTCACTCACAGAGGAACCAAAAGTTAACAAATAACTTTATCTTTTACAGTTTTGACTTTAGAGTTCGTACCAGCAGAGAGGAATAACAAACCAACTTCATTTTAATATTTTACTTTCTTAGACTGAAAGTTGGATGTTGGATATCATTATGTTTGTAATTGTTCCCATTAACCCTTGAATTTTAGGGTTGTCTCTTGAAACAGGTTGAAGTTGCATTTTAACTCTTCATGACTTGCACTTTATTTTCTTTAGAGCAGAACTGGACTGTGAGGATAAGGATCAGAAGTTGAAATAAAGGTGGTTGGTGTAATTAGTTCTTGATTTCAAGGAGTTGAGATTTAATCAGCTTGTTAAAAACATTTCCACACAGTTTCTGTCACGCTACACATTCTTTAAGATTAGTTTCTGCTGTCATGTTCTCTAAAACTTGGTTAACTACAGGTCCCATCATACGTGTGCTTTTATTTAAACTCATCTATGATTTGTAAAAGAAAACCCAGACTAGGTTGAAGATAATGTGGTTTGTTTGGAACATCACAGTGGAATCCAGCGTGGACGGTCGTGATGCGTGTGGAGATAAAGTGCTGCTGTGATTAGTTTTTCTTTATTTCCTGTCCTGGTTTTATTGAAGTGTGAAGTATCGACACTGTTTCTGTACGTTTACACCAGTGCTCCTGTTTCTATATGTTTTTTAAATAAACATAATTTAAGCAAAGGTTTTGGTTTCTATAATAAACTGTAAATAAAAGATGATGCATCGCCACTTCCTCTTACTGCCCAGAACAGAACACTGCCACCTTGTGGTGATTGAAGTCTATGCAGTGATGATCATGGAGTGGAGCTGCAGTATCGCGGTTCCGCCCATACATGCTCTCGACCAATCCTGAGTCAGTGTCAGCTGATCTCGTTTTTATATCAAAAATAACTCATTAAACCAAACTGATCAGAAACACTTCAGTAAAACATCAGTAAAACTGAAACGAGCTGAAATGACAGAAACATCTTTGACAAACTTTTATTTAACGTCTACTTTGAGGGTTTTTTGGTCCATGTCCCATCTGCTAACATGGAGGAGGAGGGTTTATACTGCAGCCAGACACCAGGGAGCCGTCATGTCGTTCATCAATCACATTTGATTTGTCTCATATTCACAGTTTGTCTCATCAGGACACGTGCTGCAGCATTTTGGACAAACTGCAGAGTAACACTCTCTTTTTGAGAATGAGATGTTACGTAAGTGAAAGAAGGCGGTCCTAGAGATTTGTTTTAAATAAGAATCAAAGGACAAATTAAGGATCAAAGATAAGGACGATGTCATCTCGAGCAGCTTCATCATTAGATAATGTTTCTCTGAGGTTTTCAAACCTCTGTTTTATCTGAGTTTAATAAAATAAATCACAGGTCGTCCAGGTTTTATGTGTTTAGTTCATTGATGAAACTGATCTGGTTTGAATTGACAAGTATAACTGGGTGTCGTCCACATAGTAGTGAGTGTGTCCTGATAATATAAATCAAATGTAAATAAAACTGAGCCGAACACAGAACCCTAAATAAAAAATCCTTCATCAGCTGAAGTGAGTGAACAGAGAGAATCTCATCATTGCAGATGTTCAGATCCACACAGCTGGAGTTAAAAACCTGTTTGTTTGTATCAGTCAGACGTCTTCAGCCTCATCAGTCGAGCGGACTCTTCATCCACATGGCTGCTCTGTGATTTCTCACTTCAGTGCTCAGCACAAGATCTGATCTGAGACCAGGCTGAAAATAAACTGGCTGCAGGTGGACACGTCACATCAGCGTCTGAGTTTAACGCCTCAGAGGAAACTTACATTTAGAGCAGTGAGCCTCTTCATGTCCAGTCTATGAGTCTCACACGTGAGAAGTCTCTTTGAGGAAAAGCATGTGATCGTGTTATTCATCACTTGTATGATCAGAGAGGAAACAGCCGACCCACTATCTATTGAACCTTCTTTGAAAAATAATCCTGACCCTTTATTTTCTTTATTCACGTCATTTGGAATAATCAACAATAATCTCAAATATTCACAATGCAGGAAAAGTATTAAACAAAGTAGAGAAGAAACTTTAAACTCTAATATATGTATTAATACAACGACTACTACTACTACTACTATTATTATTAGTAGTAGTAGTAGTAGTCTGTACTGCACAAATTAAGGATCTACCAACTCCACAGACGTCTGTTGCTCTCAGAGACTTTTTAATAGTAAAACGTTTTTATTCTTTTACTTTTGAATTTGACTGAAGTGAATGTTTTACTTGTGGTGGTTAAACCCTTCTCACAATATAAACAGACACGTGACCATTAAAACAGATGTAGTCAATCATCATCGAGCCTGCGGCCTCGTCTGGCGTGTCCTTCATTTGTCTCCTGCTCCGTCTCATCCATCTCTCTCAGCCTCCTTTGATTCTCATTCACAAACCCTGATTTCTGCTGCAGGTTGGAACTGTCTCTTTGTGTGAATGTATCTCTGGGTAATTCCCAGAAGAATCAATAACACGTCCTCGCTGTCTGGAGAAATATTGCTGCTGACAAATTAAGATGAACAGATCTATTAGTCTGACAGCGACGGCCGTCCAGAGTTTCATGAAGAGAGATTTTCTGACTCTGTGCATCCAGATTTGAAGTTTCCACAAAAAAACGAAATCAGAAAAACCCTCATACTTCCTCACCTACATCCTCACTTACTTCCCCTCCTACTTCCTCACCCACATCCTCACTTACTTCCCCTCCTACCTCCTCACATACTTCCCCTCCTACTTCCTCACCTACTTCCCCTCCTACTTCCTCACCTACTTCCTCACCTACTCCCTCACTTACTTCCTCACCTACTTCCCCTCCTACTTCCTCACCTACTTCCTCACCTACTCCCTCACTTACTTCCTCACCTACTTCCTCACCTACTCCCTCACTTACTTCCCCTCCTACTTCCTCTCCTACTTCCCCTCCTACTTCCTCACCTACTCCCTCATTTACTTCTAGTCCCACTTCCTCACCTACTTCCTCACCTACTCCCTCATTTACTTCTAGTCCTACTTCCTCACCTACTTCCTCACCTACTCCCTCACTTACTTCCCCTCCTACTTCCCCTCCTACCCCCTCATGTACTTCCCCTCCCACTTCCTCCCCTGGCTGACTACTTCCTCCTGTGGCTCCTCCTCCAGGAGTCCTACAGGAAGTCAGCTGACGTCTCCCCCGTGTCCCTCCTGTCTGAACACCTCATGGTGGAGGCCTCGTCCTCTGGACGGTGAATGTGACGTGAGTTTGATGCTCCCTCAGTCGACACATCTGGATTTTCATGACGTGCTGATGTTGAAGTTGTGTTCAGTCTTTTCACTCGTAGATTTGACCACATGTCAATGAGTCTGTTTGTTACAGGACTTTAACTGTTTCATATATTTTCTCCTCTTGTCAGAAACCATTCACACTAATTCAGTTTAAATGATGGATTGTAAACTTTGAAGGAAATCGTCTTCAACTCACTGATTCTGTCTCAATGAGCAGAAACATGATTATTTATTTCCTCCTGACAACGTGAGCAATCCCTGGATGGACTGATAATTCATCTAGTGACGGATGATTCAGATTTCATACTGAACATCAGCTGGAATCTTAATGATCTGATGATTCCTCACACGATGACATCAGAAGTTCTGATGAGACACAGGAACACGTTTGTCCTTCATGTGTTGAACCCACAGAGATTTTCTTCCATTTCCTCCACTGAAATATTTACCATGTTCACAGCTTCTCTGGAGAAACAGGACAGGAAAACGTGTGTGTTTAGTTTGAAAGGACAAACTGTCATGTCCTCAGGTCCTCACATACACACACACACACACACACACACACACACTCACACACACACACACACACTCACACACTCACCCTCTCTGTATTATTGATGACAGCTGACAGACGTTGGATCACAGAAACCACAGCGATGACGCAGACGACTGAACTGAAACTTTGAGTCAAGTCAAAAAAAATCAGAGGACACTTTAAAGGTCCAGTGTGTAGAATTTAGTGACATCTAGTGTTGAAGTGTCATATTGCAGCTGTAATGAAAGAAGAAGAATAACTTAGTGACTTTAGCTTAAATGAGTCAAAGCTCTGGATTTTTTATTTTACTCAAAAAAACACAAATATTAGCAGAAAAAAACCAAAAAGATCAAAAGATAAAAGTACTTGTTCTGCATTTTATTATTTCAGACTCAAGAAAAAAGCTGTTTCAGCATTAACTGATCATAAACCCTGATCTGATCTCAAAGTTAAATAAACACAGAAGAAAACTATTTTAATCTGGTTTCTGAAAATGACCATGAAAGTTTCAGAGTCTCTGCAGCCTTGATTTAATAACTGATCATCAACTTAATGTGCAGCAGGAGGAAATGTCTTCTGACAAAACTGCCTCAGCTCAGACATATTCTTATATTCATGAAATATTCATGTAATAGTTAATGAAAAAGATTCATAAAATAATATTTCATTTCTATATGGAAACTGTAATGCTCAAGATTCTCAAACCAGAATGAAGATTCATCCTGTGAGGTCGGGTTGGAGGGGCAGCTATTGATTGATAATTGATTGGTTGATTGATTAATTGATTAACTGGTTGGACCGGCGGTGGACTAGTGGAATAGTGGTTTCTAAAGAGTGGACTGGAAGGTCGCTGGTTCAAGTCCGTAGATTGACAAACATACCTGGACGGATGGAACAGACCTGGATCTGCTAGAGTCCAAGAGGACAGATGGACTCTCCCTATCCCACTGTCTAAGTGACCCTGAGCAAGGCACCTTACTCCCCCAACATCTGCTCCCCCCTTTAATAGCTGCCCACTGCTCCGTGTGGTACCTGTGTGTATTGTGTTCCGTGTGCTGTGTTCACACGGATGGGTTGAAAGTAGAGGTCAAATTTTCCAATTCACATGTAGTGCTGTGTGTGCATGACTGTGGGATAATACAGGAATCTTCATTGATTGGTTGGTTGATCGGTTGGTTGGTTGGTTGGTCGTCGGTTGGTCGTTGGTTGATTGGTTGGTTGATTGGTTGATTGATTGGTTGATTGGTTGATTGGTTGATCGATTGGTTGGTTGATTGGTTGGGTAGTTGATTGATTGGTTGATTGGTTGGTTGGTCGTCGGTTGGTCGTTGGTCGTTGGTTGATTGATTGGTTGATTGGTTGATCGGTTGATTGGTTGATCGGTTGATTGGTTGGTTGATTGATTGGTTGATTGGTTGATCGGTTGATTGGTTGGTTGGTCGTTGGTTGATCGGTTGATTGGTTGGTTGGTTGATCGGTTGGTTGGTTGGTTGGTCGTCGGTTGGTCGTTGGTTGATTGGTTGGTTGATTGGTTGATTGATTGGTTGATTGGTTGATTGGTTGATCGATTGGTTGGTTGATTGGTTGGGTAGTTGATTGATTGGTTGATTGGTTGGTTGGTCGTCGGTTGGTCGTTGGTCGTTGGTTGATTGATTGGTTGATTGGTTGATCGGTTGATTGGTTGATCGGTTGATTGGTTGGTTGGTTGGTTGGTTTGAGTTGACTGAAGCAGTTGATTTTCTGTCTCACTCTCACTGTTTGTTTCTGATATTCACAGTTTCGAACCAGGTTCAGTGGTGATATGAGAGAAAGATGTTGCTGACTCATTGGATGTAAATGTAAGTAGCTATGTACTTTTTATTTTATATTTA